GCACCCATAGAGCATGCCATTTGAAGACACACAGACACAGAAGGAAGACAGCATGAAAGATGAAAGCAGAGATTGGAACGTTGCAGCCACAAGCCAAGAACACCTGGAACCACCAGAAGCTACAAGAGGCAATGAAGGATCCTCTCCTTGAGGCTTCAGAAGAAGCCTGGCCCTGTCAACACCTTGAGTTTGAACTTCTAGCCCCCAAAGCTGTGAAAGAACAGTTTTCTGTTGTTTTAAGCCACTCAGCTTGTGGTACTTTGTCATGGCAGCCGGGAAACTAACAGAGCAGCCCAGTTCTGCCGTCTGGAATGGCTTTTAGCCAGCTCTGTCACTGCCGTCATGCAGGCGGTCAGGTGCGGCTTCTCTGTGAGCCCTGATGGGGAACCCTTGTCCAGTCGATTGGGAAGGTCTGCAGGCCAGCCTGCCTCCCCGACTAGACTGTAAGCTCCTTCCGGGCAGGGACTGACCTATAGTAGGGCAGTATGATTCCTGGTGCATCGTGGGAGCTAAGTCAATGTGAGGTGAATGAAGACATAGTTGAGGAGTAATGAGACCCTCTCAGAGCCATCTACTCTTCCACAGCCTGTTTTAGCTTGGATGGACATAGGAGAGTCAACAGAGAGGTTGTAGCGTCGTCCCCACGGCACATTCCTAGCTCTTCCACTGTCCAGCTCCCGCCTGGCCCCACGTGAGCCTGAATAACTTGGGGAAATTCCTCACCTTCCCTTTCAATCTGTCCATTGGCTCTAGGAGTTTGCCACAACATAACTGCTCAGGTCCCTCCAACAAGGGGACTGTGTCTGTGGCTCGATGACTCATGCACACTGCTCCATCCCGCAGCCTTGGGCGGGACCCAGGGCTGGGGATACTGCCAGCCAGGGCAGGCTAGAAGCTGGGACATCCCATTGCACCAGCCCAATCCCCAGGAAGGGAGTGTGCTCAAGGCTTCAGGACAAAAATCTGGAAGCAGGGAGGCAACACTCACTTGAGCTGAGATCTGAGTGACAAAAAGAAGCAGACAGAGGGTGCAGTGAGTTCAAAGGCCCTGAGGTAGGAATGAGCTTGGCATGATCAGGAACTGAAAAGAAGGCAGAGGAGGCTGGGGCATGCTGAAAAGGAGGTCAGTGGTAGGACATGTGATAAAACTGAGCTCACCTGGATAATCCAGGATAATCTCTCCATCTCGAGGTCCTTGATTTAATCATGTCTGCAAAGTCCCCTTTGCCATGTAAGGTAACATATTCCAGGTTCTGGGGAGCACAGCATAAACATCTACCCACCACAGTATCTCTCTCATCCTCTTACCTGCCCCTCTCACTCCATTGCTACATTTCTGTTTACCTATCCATCTACTTATTTGGATCGGACCATGGATCTACTAACCTTGTCACCTGGCCACAGTTTCTCTCTCTTACCCCTTTATCAAGTATCAACAAGTTATTTATCGATCTCTCATTCCTCCATGGCTTTCATCTTTCAATCTGATAACTGCATCATCCCTCAGCCATCGGTCTAATGAACTGATTTTTAAACTCAGTCTACCATTCAATTCTCCTCTGTCCATGATGAATTGTCAGTCATCTAGCTCCATATTTGCACATGCGTCGCATATGTGGACATTCTTTCTCAATGTCTACAAACAAATTCAATAAATATTCATGACTGCTTGTCATGTGCCCAATTCTAAGTCATGCGTGGGTGAGAAAGCTGGTTGATGACACCTCCCAGTAGCCACGCTGGGCCCTTCTTCATCATCGTCCTCATCACAGTCAATGCCATCACTGTCAATCCATGCACACTCTCCAGTTTTGTTCTCCACACAGGGATCATTTTTATGTGGACTTACGAGACAATCCAGACTGTTCTGGTCTGCCTTTTGCTCACTAACCATCCTGTGTATAAATAATGCAGACTCATTTTAACTTGATCTTAGATAAACTGTAGGTAGAAAACTCTATCTGCTGGGCAAGCATCTTATGCATCAAATAACAAATCCTAAAGTTAAATGGAAATTATTTTTAGGTTGTCTGGGCAAATAGCACAGAGGATGGCAACTCCAGAGACGTTGCATCAGGCAATGTTTGGGCACATGCAGACACACAACACACACATACACATGCACATGGGCACACACAAATGCACACATGGGAATAATCTCTCTTTCCCCTGCCCCCACATAGTGGCTCCTTCCTGGCTCATTCACACTCCTGTGTGCATGTGCACACACGGCCAAAGTGGACACTTCGACGCTGACTTATGCCCTACCTCATCTTGTTTCCAGTATAGGAATCTCACCCCCCGACCTGGACTGTGAGGTCCTCTAGGGCAAGGTGGTGCCTGCTCTTCCTCGGGCATACCCTTCCAGCCTGGCCAGCCAGAGGACAAGACACTTAAGAGCTGTTGGCCTTTCCTTGAACTCTGAGGGCAGCTGGGGATCAGGGAGATAAGGAGCTAGATGCCCAATGGCAGAGGCTCCCCAGGGAAGCCCCTACTGCCCAACACAGTCCCCTCTGCCCCCTATGAATCTGCCTCTCTTGCTCCAGCCAGATGCCAGGGTAATGCATGCTTTCCTTCCTCTGTAGAACTCTCCTAAAGGAACTGTCTTAGGTGGATTATCTGCCTGGAGCTGGTCTAGCTGGGGATCAATTTGACAAGAATTCCCTTGTTTCTAAGCATCTCTGCTGCACAGGCATCCAGGCCAGTTCCTGTCCAAACCTCTCCCCAGGGCCCTGGCTGGAGATCTAGCACATTTGGAAGCAGGATGGCACCTACCAGAGCTGCAGGTCCTGGATGCCCACCAGTTACAGTGTCCAAGGCCAACCCAGACTCACAAGTCACTTTGTCCACAGCCCTAAGGGAGGAACAGCTTGCTCACTAGTGCCTACAGGAGGCTCCTAAGGCATCTACTTTGTACCCTGGAGCACTTCCCAGCACTGGGAGGCTGGTTAAGGCCAGGACACCATTAATGAAGCCTTGAATGGAGTGAGGCATCTCAGGGCCAGCTTCCCTTGCTGCTTCCAGTTCCACAGTGAGGCTTGGTTCCATGCACATACTTGACCCCATCCAAATCCAATTTATGTCCCTCCCCCATCCTGTGGTATCCTCAGGACAGGGACCTCATCTAACATCTCTGTAACCTGAAGCCTGCCCAAACCAACCACAGGAATTGTATGCAGAACAGATCTGCACCTGTGCACAGCCCACACCAACATCCTGCACACCCAGAGCCCAAATCCTGGCCTCAAGCAGTCTCCACATCTGCCTCCCAGCCCAGAGCCCTCACTCAGTGGGTTTCATTAACTGCTGAGAGCCCAACAGGTGATGAATTATCCCCACATTTGTTTCCTGAGGAGTCAGGCTGGGCCAGGTATCCTCAAGCCAAATGTTCTGGGAAGAAATGATACTCCACCTGTCAGAGGAGGGAGCTCCTCCAGGGGACCAGGCTACTCAGAAACTTCTTCTCACACTGGTTCCCAATCCCAGCCTGGCCCATGTTCAAGTCCCAGCAGGCTAAAGGCCAAATGGAACTTTTCCATGCCCCTGCTGGAGTTCAGACTCCATGGGAAGGCTCTGGAATGGACTTAGAATCCCAGGCTGGGCCAGCTGGAGAAGCTCAGAGAGACCCTGACGCTGGGGACCAGAGAGGGCCAAACAGAACCCAGGCCACCCCAGGAGTCAGCAGTGGGGCTAGGCTAGAGGGCAGGTTTCCTGTCCCTGCCCTCCAAGACCACACTGTAGCCCATCACTGGGCTAGGGAAACATGACACCCCCCCCCCCCCCCCCCCCCCCGCCCTACACACACCGATGCTTCCGTCGCTGGAGAATTCTAAGCCCTGTGGGGCAAGCAACACTACCCAAATGCAAAGGGCTCCTTAGGGCTCCCTCAACAACCACAGGGTTGACTCCTCCTCTTCGTCTCCACAACTCCTACCCCAACCCTTCCCAGCTTCACTCCCTACGCTACAACACAGGCAACCGGTCACCAATTTGATGAGTCTCTTTCCAGATGCTTTGTTTTTTCTATGAAATTACATACGTCTGTGTGTCTGTGTTCAAATAAAAATGTAGGCTTTTTACGGTATTTTTTATTTACTTATCTATTTATTTTTAAAGATTTTATTTATTTATTTGACAGAGAGGGAACACAAGCAGGGAGAGTGGGAGAGGGAGAAGCAGGCTTCCCGCCGAGCAGGGAGACCGACGGCCGGGCTTGATCCCAGGACCCTGGGATCATGACCTGAGCCGAAGGCAGGCACTCAACAACTGAGCCACCCAGGTGCCCCTTTAAGGTATTTTTTAGGTTTTTAATTTTTTAATATGAGATCATATTGCACATTGTACCCTGAAACTTGCATTTTGTTTTCAGGTATACAGCATAGTGTTTTGATATTTGCAAATCCCTAAACCTGCTTTTCACTTAACACTTTTATTAGGGCTCTTTCTACATGAAACATGCAAAACCATACAATGCTTCTTCCTTTGCTGCCTTCTTTTTTGCATTGTGGTTTATTTAGCCAGTGCTCTGGTGATGGACATTCAAGCTATTCCCAGCTTTTCTTTTTTCTTTTTTAAAGATTTTATTTTTTTTAAGTAACCTCTACACCCAACATGGGGCTTGAACTCACGACCCTGAGATCAAAAGTCTCATGCTCTAACGACTGAGCCAGTCAGGTACCCCTCTAATGACATTCTTAAACAGATCTTCTTGGGCCCACATCAGAGGGTCTCTCTGGAGTGGATTCCTAGAAGTAGACTGCATGTTTTCATCTCTTTCTTCCAATTTGGGACAACTGCAGGTTCTCACCTTCCATCCTCAAGCAGCTTACGAGTATATTTTCCTGTACAAAGGGCAATTTCCTCTCAGGAAGAACCCTAAGGCCAGCTATTAACATCCTATTCTGTGCCCCATTGCTCTGCTGTGAACCAGACAGACATTCCTCATCTCTCTGGATGGTCCTCCCCCCTCCCATCTCATCTAAATCGCTATCTATATGCAGGTCCATCTCCAGACCCTTCTCAGACTCTGGACCATTCCATGCCACAGGCTCCCAAGACTGCTTGTTTTATCATCCTGCATATGCTTAAGGACTTGTCTTCCTCAATGGGCCAAAATCCCTTGAAGGTAAGATCTGGACCTGGAACTCATTGCCCTAAGATAAAGCCTTGTTTACATAGGTGCTTGTTAAATGCATGTTATTTCTAATAAAACCAGATTAGCTCCAGCATGGCTATGAATTCATCAGTAAATGCATGGGAAGGGTCTTCTTAAGGTTGCCAGATGAGGAGAGATTTGCTTCAGTCTATCACAAACACTGGGGAAAAGCCAAAGGGTTTTTCTTATACTGTTCAACTTGACTTGGAGCCAGTGCCTTTGGTTCTTGGTGGTTCTTGGGTTGAGCCAGGCCCCTCAGCTCCACTCGGGGCGTCTCACACTTTGATGAGTGTCTGGTCAAGCTGGCCCCTGACTTGGCCAGAGGTACTGCCTGCTGCCAGTTTCTGGGGAAGTGTTTAGAGGCCCCAGGGATCTTCTTTGCCTTTTGCCATCTGTGGCCACTGGGCTAGGTCTGAGAGTCTGAGAAGAGACAGGTGGCCTGGCTGGCACATCATGCAGACATCTCCTAGGGCTGGTCAGTACCATCTCTAAACCAGCTCCAGAGGGGTGCTTCTCCCAGGCATGCATTTGTAGCACCACAGAAAGTGGCAAGGCTGGATCTTGCCAGGGCAGTGTCTTAAGCCACAGATGCAGCCCTGGGCAGCTTTCCTATCTGTCCCAAACCCCACCTGCAGCTCCTGCCTGGAGCTTGGGAGGCAGAGCTGCTGGATTTGTCCTCTCCTGACTGCCAAATTATATGCTTTGCAAAAGACTTGGCACAGGGTAGGCAGCCAGGAAATAGTTACTGAATGACCAACAGAGTGAATTTCTACAGATACATGATGATCCATCTCTATAAACATGCATATTACAGAAAACTCATTTTCAGGTAAAATCTTGGAACAAGCTGTAACAACAATAAATTTTCCCACTCTCCCTTAAACCCACTTAATCAAACTTCTGTTCATGCCCCTCTGTTGCCATGGCTTTTATCAATATCACCAGTGAGCCCAACATGGCTGAAACTAATGATCAGTTTCAGTCCTTATCTCACCTTATTCCCCTTGGTAGCTTTGGACATAGAGATTTCCTCCCCCCTGAAATGCTCTTACCTTGGTTTCCAGGACATTCTTCCTATCTCTCTGGATACCGCTGCTTCCTTTTTACTTTCCCCTACCCACCCCCCAATTTTTAAAAAATCATTACTACTATTTTTGAAGATTTTATTTTTAAGTAATCTCTACACCCAACATGGGGCTCAAACTCACAACCCTGAGATCAAAAGTCGCATGTTATACTAATGAGCCAGGCAGGCGCCCCTCCCCCAATTTTTTTATTGTGGTGAAATACACATAACATAAATTTTACTATCTTAATAATTTTTTTTAAAGATTTTATTTTACTTATTTGACAGAGAGAGAGTCAGCGAGAGAGGGAACACAAGCAGGGGGAGTGGGAGAAGGAGAAGCAGGCTTCCTGCTGAGCAGGGGATTGATCCCAGGACACTGGGATCATGACCTGAGCAGAAGGCAGACGCTTAACCACTGAGCCACCCAGCCGCCCCATCTTAATCTTTTTTTTTTTTTTTTTAAGATTTTATTTATTTATTCATGAGAGAGAGAGAGGCAGAGGGAGAAGCAGGCTCCCAAGGAGCAGGGAGCCCGATGCGGGACTCGATCCCAGGACGCTGGGATCATGACCTGAGCTGAAGGCAGACGCTTAACCATCTGAGCCACCCAGGCGCCCCCCTTTTTTTTTTTAAAGATATCTTAATCATTTTTAAGTGTACAGTTCAGTGATATTAAGTACATTCACACTGTTGTGCAACCATCACCACCATTCATCTCTGTAACTCTTTTATCTTGCAAAACTGAAACTGTACCCATTAAACGATGAGTCCCCATCTCCCCTCCCTACCCCAGCCCCTGGCAAACACCATTCTTCTTTCTGTCTCTGTGAATTTCACCACTCTTGACATCTACAGTATTTTGTGACTGGATTATTTACTTAGCATAAGGACCCAAAAGTTCATCCATGTTGTAGCATGTGTCAGAGTTTCCTTCCTTTTTAAGGCTGAATAATATTCCATTAGATGTTTATACTGCATTTTGCTTACCCATTCGTCCATTCATCCATCAATGGACACTTGGAGTGCTTCCACATTTTAGCTACTGTGAATAATGCTGCTATGAACACAAGTATACAAATATCTCTTCAAAACCCTGTTTTCAATTCTTTTGAGTATATATCCAGAAATGGAATTGCTGGATCATATGGTAATTCTATTTTTAATTTTCTGAGGAATGGCCATACTGCTTTCCACAGTAGCAGTACTATTTTACATTCTCACTGACAGAGCACAACAAGGGTTCTAATTTCTCCACATCCTTGTCAACACGTGTTATTTTCTGTTTTCTAAAAATAGTAGCCATCTTGGGGCACCTGACTGGCTCAGTTGGTAGAGCATGGGACTCTTGATCTCAGGGCTGTGAGTTCAAACTCCACATTGGGTGTGGCGCCTACTTTAAAATTAAAAAAAGGGGGGTGCTTGGGTGGCCTAGTCGGTTAAGCATTGGACTCTTGATTTTGGCTCAGATCATGATCTCAGGGTAATGAGACTGAGCCCTGGGAAAGGCTCCACCCTCAGCATGGAGTCTGCTTGAGATTCTCTCTCTCCCTCTCCCTCTACCCCCACCCCAGCTCATGCCCTCTCTCCCTCAAATAAATAAATATAATCTTTTTTAAAAAATAAATAAAATAAAAATATTTAAAATAGTAGCCATCCAGGGCGCCTGGGTGGCTCAGTCAACCTTTGGCTTGGGTCATGGATCCCAGGGTCCTGGGATCAAGCCCAGTGTCGGGCTCCCTGCTCAGGGGTCAGTCTGCTTCTCCTTCTCCCTCTGCCCCTCCTTGCTGCTTGTGCACGCGCACTCTCTCTTCCTCCCCCCCTCAAATAAATAAATAAAATCTTTTAAAAAATAAAATAATAAAATAAAATAGTACCCATCCTATTGGGCGTGAGATGGTACCTCATTGCAGCTTTGATCTGCATTTCCCTAATGATTAGCAACATTGAGCATCTTTTCATGTGCTTATTGGCCATTTGTATCTCTTCTTTGGAGAAATGTCTGAACACTTCCTTTTTAACAATATCTTGCTGATTCTTCTTCATCTTCCAGACCTCTTAACATTGCAGTGGGCAAGGGCACCATCCTTGGACCTCTTCTCTTTCTACACTCACTTCCTTAGTGATCTCAAACAGCCTTAGATAGCTTTAAATACCAGTCACCTACAGATACCTCTCAAAAGATATCTTCAGCCCAGAATGTGCCTCTGAGGTGAGGCTGCCATTTCTAGCCGCCTACAGGATGGCTGCACTTGGACATCTAGTAGGTCTCTTAAGCTTACCATGTATAACACTGAGCTCCTTACCCTGCCCCAAATCTACTCCTTCCATAGTCTCCACATCTCAGTTAATGGCAATTCTGTTTTTCCACTGGCTCAAGACAAAACTTTTGTTGTCATTCTTGACTCCTTGTTTTCTCACACCCAATCAATAAACGTCAGAGCTATCTTCATAATATATATGGAATTTGACCACTTCCACTGCTACCATTCTAGTGCACGTTAACATCATCTCTCACCTGGTCTATTACAGTGACCTTCTAACCTGTCTTCCAGCTTCAACCTTTCTGCTTTCAGGCTGTCCTCCATCTGACAGCAAACTAACCTGTAAAATCCAGTGTCATATCATGTCATCATGTCACTCCTCTGCTCAAAAGCATCTTTATTACACCTAGCAAAAGCCAAGTTCCTAACAACACCCTATATAATCTCTTTCTTATACATTTACATAATAAGCACATTCCTGCCTCAGGACCTTTGCATTTGCTGGTCTCTCTGTGGAGACAGTGGTTTCTTTTACTTCGTACCATGGACCCTTTTGGCAGTCTGTGATGCCTGTGGATTCCTTCTGAGAATAATATCTTTAAATCCATAAAATAAGTTTCATAAATTATAAAGAAAACCAATTATATTGAAATACAACTCTCAAAATATTTTTAAAATGTGTAATACACAGTAATATATGTGTTTCTTATTAACTCATTAAGTTATAAGAGCTCGCAGCATAATTAGGAAGTAGTGATAACTGTAATGATATTTTAAGATCGTTGTAACAACGATAACGTGATATGAAAATATCCGTGATTTCTAGTAGCAATGGTATCACGGGTGGTGCTAATATTACTGTGATTTGCTATCTGCATTCATTATTGAAGAACATGCTAAATGTTAATTAGTGAAAATAAAGATACAATTTTTTCCCCATCTAAAGCCAAGACCCCCTGAATTTCTATCCACAGATCTCTGGAGAGATGGACTCCATGTCAAGAACCCCTGGCTTAGAATGCTCGCTCTTCTCCCATAAGCCCTCACAGCTCATTCCTTCACCTCCTTTTATGCAGAAGCCACCTTCTCAGGCAGCTCTTCCCCAAGGACTCTATTTAAATTGCATGACCACATTCCCTATCCCTCTTTCCTACTTAATTTTTTCGGAATAGCATTAACTAACCTTCAAATATATTTTACTTTAAAAAGTTTTGTGTATCTCCTTCCACTAGAAAGTGAGTTCCATGAGAGTAGGCATTTTTGTCTGTCATTTTTGTGCTGTGTCCTCAGCCCCTAGAATGGTGCATGGTATACCAGAGGCACTCAATAAATATTTGTTGACAAAAGTGAATGATTACATCTCCAAGAACTTTGTTTCTTCTTTTTTTTCTGTAATAAGTTAATGATTTGTGAGGCTTTTACTAAAGACTAAGGAGTTATAATTAGCTCCATTGCTATTATTCTGTTAACATTTTCAAGGTTAACCTTAAACAGTAGCAGAGAACAGTGGGAATCCAAGAATTCTGATGGAGCTTCCAGTCCTAAACAAGAAGTGTCTTCCAAGGACTCCTTAGGGGACCTGGGTCTCACCCAAATTCAGTGAACCACCTTAGAGGCAAAATGCTACCCACAAAATTCTTTCTTGCTATTATAGCAATCAGGCCCCCATCCTCAATCAAACCAATAATGCTATTACTTTTTATTTCTGGCAGTGGGGTAAAATGGAAAAAAATGTAGTCTTTGGGGTCGTGTGGACTAGGTGCCAATTCTACCACCACTTGCTAGCTTGTGTGACTGTTAGTAAGTCACCAAACCTTTCTCAATAGGTAAAATGGGATTTTTGTGAGGATGAAATGGAACGACTTGCATACTGCACAGCACAGAGCAGGTGCTCTATAAATGGTCATCTCCCTCTTCCTTCTCTCTAGGTCATTTTATAACTGCTTGCCAAGGTTCACAGGATCCTGATGGCTAAGAGGAGGAGCCTGTCCCATCTTTTGGTGCATGTAAGCCCTCTGCAACCAGACCCAATCAGAGCAGTTTCTTTAGACTGTGCCACTGTCAATTGGGACCCCCATTCCCACTTCAGATGTGTGGTTGAGACTGCCATCTGGACCTTGACCATGAAGCCCACCACGTATCAGTTTTTTCTCCTCGCCTTCCCTTTTGCCCTAACTGGGAGATCTTGTCTAGGTCCTCATGGAGAGCAAGACAAAAATCATTGTTCTCCAGTTTTTCAGTGTTAAGAACTTTCAGGGAGCACAGTTACCCTTCCAAAACTTAAGCACCAGGGAAAGTGCTAATGTGCGCTGTGCACTCTGAGCCAGGAGTGTTTGTGTTTACACAAACAGCATGTATACACACATACCGCTTCAGGACCCCTCCAGCCATCCTGTTCTACAGAAGAAAGAGACCCAGAGAGATGAATGCACTTGTCCACATCAAGTGGCTTCTCAACTGCAAAGCCAGGATTAGAATCCAGGTATTTAACCATTTTGTTTCATGTGAACAGCCTGTGTCATCTGTTTTCTGGCATTGAGCTTGGGTTTGAGAAAATCCTAACAACTGACCACTCAGAGCTGGAGTCAGGTCTAACCAGGAGGTGGTACCCCAGTGCCTCAATCTTGCCAGACAAGCCTCCCCAGACTTTGTGAATGAAGGCCAAGGAAGAAAATGTTGCAGTGACTCCCTTTGAGCTCATATTTCTTTCTTGTTGCAAAAAGTGCTTATTTCTGCATTCATCATCTCCCTTTGTTGTGTAGACAATCTACCCTGTCAGAGGATTTGTGCTGTTATTATGAGTTTGTTTATTATTAGATTTATTTCTCCTATAAGCAAATGTGTTTACAACATTCCATCGGGGGATCTTTTTAATTGTCACATAAATGTCATCTTATGTAAATTGTATATTTATCTTTCCATAGAAGGGGGGTGGAAGGGAAAGAAAGAAAGAATAAACAACCTTCAGTCTTGGAGAGGGAAGGCGGTTCCTGTCCCCGTTCACAACTCACCCACATGCCTTCAAAGCCAAAGGTGAGTTGAAAAAAATTATTGGATTATCTCTGAGGGACAGCCAAAAGGGAGAGGATAGGAAAAGTTGGCAACGATGCTTTGGGGATGTTGACCCAGGCTCCCAGGTCTCCCCAGCCTGAGACCAGCCCCTCCGCAGCTGGGAGCATCCGGAGAAGGTTGCAGCTTGCCCCCCACACCTCCCCACCCAGGAGGCCAGCCCAGCTCCTTCCTCGAGAGAAGGTGAGCGCGGCGGGCGCAGCGGGTTGGGTGGGTGTGGCCCGCGGCTCCGGGAACGGACCCAAGGCCCCGCCACCGCCTGCGAGCCGCCCGACAGCCCGCCTGCCTGGCGAGCGCAAGCGCTTCTTCCAGAAACTGCGAGGATCCGAGCGCACTGTTTGTGCACCACAAGGTCAAGTCGGGAAGTGGAGCCGGAGGAGGAGGGGCGAGGAGGCGAAGGGTGGGGAGAGGGGCGCCCCGCTTCCTCGCCAAGTGCCAGCCTTTGGAAGTTGCCCCCTCGGTTTTTAACCCTTTAGGGGTAATGGGAAGGACGAGCTGGGGGGGAAGGGGACACCGCGGGGCAAACTCCAAGTTGGACCGGGACGAGCAGCTACCCACCCACCCATCACTGCGTTCCCCACCCCCCGGAAATGCGGGGCAGAGCTGGGAACCCGGAGGTACCCGGGCGGGGGAGGGGGCGACGAACCCGAGAGGGACCCTCTCTACGGACCGCCCCTCCTTTCTTGAGGTCGCCCACAATTTCAAGTTTCCCCCGCCCGAGATGTTAGTTTCCATCTGCTGTGGGTGGGGGAGGAGGGCCGCGCCCCCTCCCCCAGACTCGCGCGCGCGCCCCTCCCCTCCGCTCCGGCCAGCACTTTCTGCTCACTTCTGGCGCTGCAAAGCGCCACGCGATTTATTCGATTCGCATTTTTAAACCAGCGATTCGGGAGCAGGGCCTAGGGCGAGGGTCTTCCAGCGCTGGAGCCCCGGGAGGCGGGGTGCTCAGTGCAAACCTCGTTCCCTCCGCGAGTGTCGCCTTCAGGCTGTTATTTGCAAAGAAACGTCTTTTTGACGCAGGGAGAAATGGCAAATTTTAAGTACGTCATTAATATGGCGCCAAAAGATTTTTTTAAGTATAAGCTTGCTTTTTTTTTTTTTTAAGGTTGCGGGGGGCGCCGCCCGGGTCTGGGGCGCGAAGGGGGCGGAGTGTGAGCAGAAAGTGTGAGTGAGAGAGTGGAGGGGCGGGGTGTGTGTGTGAGTGTGTGAAGTGTGAGCAGACCTGATGGGACTTGCACGGGCGCAGCCGCCGCTCGGCCCGGCCCTGGGGACAGGGCGGGCTGGGGGCGCCCCAGAGCCCATGGGGAGTCTGGGCCCGAGGTGCAGGCACACGGGCGGCCCGGCAGAGCACCCTCCCCCCGAGGCCTGCAACGCTACCTGGACCCGCTGCCGAAGCCAAACAACTGGGCGGGGGGGTGGGGCGGGCGGCGGGGGGTGTCAGGAGTGGAGATCCGAGTGAATAAGAAAAAAGTGGCTACTCCCCCTCCCTCGCTCCTCCCGCCCGCCCCCACCCCACCCCCACCCCACCCCCACCCCAACACATTTTTTTTTTTTCTAAAGAGATCACAAGGAAGTCTTGGTTTAAAAAGAAACAGAAACATACACAGGGGGATTGGTGAATGGTGCCGACCGCGGCCATCGCAGTTGGAGGCTATTTTTTGGGGGGGGGGGGGTGAGTAGCGTCCATGGAGTTACTTTGCGCCCATTCCTAGCGGTAAGGGCTTAGGTCCAGCGGGCTGACCGTCCCCAGCAGGGGTGCGGGGCCGGGGACGCCGCAGGCCCGGCCGCCTCCCTCGCTGCGACCCCGGATGGATGCGCGCCCCCCGCCCGCCCGCGCCGGCCCCAGGAGCTCCGGGTTTCGGGAGCATCCTTCCCGCGCCGGCCCCCGCCGCGGCGCGTAGTCCAGGGCAGCGCCCCTCGGAAGGGCACCGCGGAGGAAGGTAAGATCCAGCCCCCAGCGATGGGCCCTGCGCATCTCCGCGGCGTTATTTTGTGTTTTTGCAACAGATCTGCCAGCGCTCCTCGCTCTCTCGCTCTCTCTCTCTTGCTCGCTCGCTCCCTCTCTCTCCTGCTGGCTGCCTGTTCTAGGAAGCCAGGGCGCGGGGGGGGGGGGGGGGGGATGCACAGCACAGGGGAGAGAGATTGCGCATGTTGGTCAGTCGTGTTTTAAAGAGTACATTGCGGGGAGGCTGAGAGGGGCGCATGCAACAACAACTTTTGGAAGGGTGAGCTTGGCGACCTTCTTTATTAATGACTGCGGCAAAGCGCCCCCGGGCCGGTGAGGGGGCGCGGGCGGGCGGGGGCGCGCCAGGGCTGCAACTTGCCCCGCGGGCTCCGGCCGCGCGGAGGGGCTGCGGCGGGAGACAGCAGTGCTGGGGAGGTCGTTCTGCCGGGGATGGGGGTTCAGAGGACCTGGACCTATCTGCCCTCCTGTCGCCCTGAGTTTCATTTTGTTGATACGCAGCACGTCCGGCCGCCGAACCGGGCTGAGCCGGTGCACATGACTCCGCGCTGGGCTCACGTGCAGCCGGTCCGGTCCCAGACACCTTCCGGGGGCCACCGCCTCCGCCCTGTCGCCCCCTCTCTGGGCTGGGTGCACGCGGGCGCTGCACGCGGGGGCAGCATGCTCAGCTCCCCGGCGCGGAGGCTCTGCACAAATTAAACAGTGTTTTGGAGGGGCGGGGGACACCCTTTCCAGGTGAGTATGCCGGGTGTGCAGCCCCGGCGTACGGGGCGGGGGCTGGGGTTGTGGGTAGCCCCCCTCCGGGGCTGCGCGGGAGTCCGGCGGGGGAGAAGCGCTGGGAGAGTGGAAATGTACCGGCTGTGGCCGGAGCGGCGGGTGCGCGCCCGCGGGGCGACGGCAGGGGGCGTGGCCCTTGTTTACCTTCTCCCAACTCTGCTGGTTCGCGTCCCGCTTCGGGGACGGTACTGCAGTCCCCTGCCCTCCGCTTCCGTCCCTGCGCCCTGGGTGGTACCGGGAAGATGTAGGCAAGTGGCAGTCTCAGCCTGGGACATGCACACCTGACCCTCACATAAGTGACATTGCAGCCCCAGCCCCCACCAAGCACCGCTGCAGTCCCTCTCCCGGATCCCCGGCCGCGCCCCGCCCCCGGCAGTGGCATCTTCCCGGCCTCACCTCCTTCCTCCCTTTCTCCCTCCCTCCTTCCCACCCACTCGCCTGCGCCTGCGGAGCGGCACCCGCCCGCTTCCTCCCCGCCTGGGTGCAGACTTGTGGCTGCCTCCGGTCCCTTCCCGCCTATCCCTGAGCCTGAGCCTGAGCCACTCTATTCTCCAGGCCAAGGGATGAGAAGGGGTCAGCTTGGCGATTCGTAGCTGTTATATCAGAAGACGAGGATGTCTGCGAGACAGGCAGGAAGGCTTCGCTGTGGCTTCCAGAGGCCCAGGACATCCCCCACACACCCAGTCCCCCGCCACACGTAGCTGCCCACTTCCCAAGAGGCTCGGCTCCTCTTACCCGCTTCACCTAAAGCCCTCCCCCCCTCCACCCCTAGCGTTAAGTCCACCACCCCCAGCCCGAACCGCCTCTTGCCCTTCCTTCGCCTGGGCCGGAGCCCCCCGCAGCCACCTCCGGCTCCTCCTCCCGGCTCCCGCGGTCGGAATCACGCCGGCGCGCCTCCAGCCTGCGGTCCCGCGGACTGCCTCCAGGGGCGGGCTGGAGGCGCGCGCCACCCCCTCCCAATCCCCTTAGCCTCCGCCGCGGGCCGGGACGCTTTTTTTTTTTAACCACCTTGGCTGCAGGTCTAGTGCCCGGGGCTGGTGGAGGCGGGAGGGGACGTGTTTCCCTTTGCCCTGAGCCAAGGGCACGCTGCACCGGGCGACTCTGGTCTCTGCAGATTTCCAGACCTTGCTCCCGCGCTCAGCACCCCTTGCTCATCCACTGCGGGACACAAAGTTTTACCCAGAGGCTGAGTTTGTAGGGGGTCATCGGGAGGCTTCGTTTCTGCACTCAGAGCGGCTCCAAAGAGGATTGGGGAGGGGCTGAGAGGGCGGGACTGGTCTGCCGCCTTGCCTTTGTTGGAAAGGGGAGGAGCCCCGAGCTTTGAGCCTAGACTGGCTGTCAGGACGTCTCCTTAACATTTCTGTTTGCAAACCAAATCGGGCCCAGGTGGTGGTACGGCCGCCTGGCCCCTCTTCCCACAGTGGCATTAACTCCCTCCTTTTCACTGGTAAAATTCCCAGTAGGACATTTGGCAAAAGGGCCGTGCAAGGAGCTGCCAACCGGGCCTGGCCCTGTTTCCTGGGTTCCCAGGGTGCTGGCTTCTCCCCTACCCTGACTTCCTCTCTCACCTTAGGGCCCCAAGTGAACGCACTATCCTCCCGTCTCTTCTTCCTCAGGCGGGTTGGGACTTGCAGAGCGATCTAACAAGCAGAGGAGGAAAATAACAACAGAATAACTGTAAGGGGAAGGAATGAGTAATAAAGCCGACCCAGGCAGGGAGGAGGGCTTTCATGTTTAAGAGACGCTATTTGCTTTTTAGGTCACAGGCTGCAAAACAGGCTTTGATCCGAAGTGGGCGAATAATTTATTGAGAAAGTTTGCATGGTAGGGGGAAAAAAGGGATGTTTGTTTGATCTGGAGTCCTCTCAGTTGTCCCAAGTGCTGTTGGGTGTTGTTTGGAGTGGAAAAGCATTTGGTTCTACAGCAAATCCCTCGTAGAGGGAAGTCCTCGCCCCAGGCAGCAGGACTTCGTAGTGAATGTTGGTCTTGAAACTGTTTGGCCAAAGGTCTCCTCAGCACTTTCGGAGATGAAGTGTTTAAGGACAAAGTTGTTTGGACTTGGGATGCAGCAAATGTTTCCAGAACATTTCCCATCCAGCATGCTTTTCCTTTGCCTAAATTGCACAGCTAAATGGCCAGTAACACTAACCCAAGAGAGCTTCCACTTGGCTTTCATTGGGGGGTGAGGTGGGACTGCTGGTCCCAGTCCCCAAGGTGCACCCCAGAGTCTTGAGGGTAGGCCTTCGACACTGACTACTATCACATCCTTGAGGTGGGGGGGGAGGGGATGCAGGGTGTTCTGGTTAACTGGACTTCCAAGTAACAGGGAGGTAGTTTTTCTTTTACCCAAGACTGGGTTCAGTGACTTCCGGTCCAAATTCTTCACAACTCATCCAGCAGGCTCTTCACAGACTTCACAGTTAGTTCTGCCTTTAGGTGCTCCAGGGGAAGGCCAGGATTGGCCTGCTTTGTCCTCCATCCACATAGGACCCTGACTGTGTGGCTAGAAGTTTAGGAACCCAGGGAGGTTCTCAGATAGCCCATAGGAATCTGGAGTACCTCAGCCACACTCTGGGGTTGTAGGCCTGTGCATCCTAGCCCTAGGTGCGGGGCAGGGTGCACCACCTGGAGTCAGATAGCCTGGGTTTGAATGCTATAGCTATGCAGTTACCAGCTGTGACAGTTGCTTTGTGCCTCACTTTCTTCATCTGCAAGTGGGGTTAATAACAGTCCCTACCCCATGATTGGTGTATGGATTGAGCAGTATATTGCCTAAAGAAGATTAAACCCAAAGCCAGGCATGGGGTAAGCACTTGATTAGTATTGGCCATTTTTACTATTACTAATGATCTACTGAGGGCCCAAATGCAGCTTTGACCTTTGATCTCTCCCCTTTAGGCTAGGCCAGAGAGCCAGCTCCCTTCTCTGAAGAAGGGATCGGAAGAACCCTGCAGTTGCCAATGGGCAGCCATCTGTGGGAGCGAGCGGACTGAGCTTTGCCCTCCCTGAGGTGGAGGGTAGGGTGAGAAGGTGCCGAAGGACAAAGTAGACAAAACCCCTTTCATTCTTCCAGGACCCCCTAGGTATGTCCCCAGAACTGGGTTTGGGGAGGGAGCGGGTGTGGGCAGCATGTTCCAAGGGAGCTGGGTACCCTCTGGGACACTTGGAATTGCAGGTGGGCCATGATGAGTGTCAGAGGAGGGCTCAGGCGCCCCTATGCTCGGAGAGGCAGGTTTGAGGATCCGTGTGTACAAAGTCATTTCTGTAATGGTGATTACTGTCCCCAAGAAGGCATTAAAGTTAATGAGAGATAGGAAAGATGGGGCTCTGACCCCCACTTACAGCGGTTTAAGAGCGTGCAGCTCTTGTTTTCTGAACGTCTGGCCTTCCCGACACAAGGAGGCTCTGAGGACAGGTTTTCCAGCCGAAATATCATTAAATTGTATTAGCATCTTATTACACACACGCCTAAGCGGTCTGCCTCAGACAGGGAGAGTTTTTGTTTCTTTTTGAAAGATTGTGTCTGGAATGGTAAATTGCCTGCATGAAAGCCGCCCCCCCTGCTTTTTTTAAGGAGGAAGACGAAGTCCTGCTGTGTGTGGTGGCGGGCAGGGCAGGCCTGGTGGCCCCCAGAGAGGAGAGGCTGGAGGCCAGGTTGGGGTGTTTTAACTGCCCAGGGAGCGGCTGCACTAGCAGAGCTGAAAGGCCCACTGTTCCCAGGGTCAGCTGGAAGAGCGTTAATGGAGGCCCAGGGTGTTTATTTGAGTTTATTTGTGGAGAGGTCTTTAAAGGGGGCTGGCATTGGGCATTGGTGTTTCAAGTCCAGACCCAAGGCCCCCACTAAGACCAATGGCTAGTGCTGCCAAGAAAACATCTGCCACCAAATTGCTGCCCTATTACTGAGTTGACATTGATCATTAGCCAGGAGCCCTACCAAATAAAGCCTCCTGGAAAATGTGTGAGGTTAAGATGGGGAAGGCAGGCTGTGAAAACAGGGTGAAATCTTGGCCTGGGGTGTTTGTTCCTGCAAGCTGCAGGCTGGCCGGCTGGGCTGTGTGCTCCCCACACTTGTACAGGGAGGGGACAAGAACTTACTCAGCACTCCCTGGGTACCAAGCCCCTATTGTGTGCTGGGGATAACTCGAGGGGCCATGGGGGCTCCCACAGAGATCAGACAGACGTGCTCCTTACTCCCCTCTCCAAGGAGGAAGACATTCAACAAGTAGATCGGCAGACAGTAACTGTGGTGGATGCTCTGCAGATGTTGACTAACGGCACTGTGGGCTCTCTTTAGATAAAGTAACTGGCATAGACCTCCTTGACATTTAAGCTGAAATGTGAAGGATAAAAAGTCAGACATGCATAGACTACATAGAACCTTCCAGGCAGAGAGCACATCCTGTGCACAGGTCCTGAAGCATGGAATATTTGGCTTATTTCAGGAGATGAAAGGAGACCAGTGTAGCCAGAAAGCAGTGAGGAAGGGGATAGTGGTCCCTGTGAACTTGCTGAGGTAGGGAGGGACCGGATCATGTAGGATATTGTGGTCAAGAGCTTGAGTTTTGTCCTTTGATCAGCAGGAAGCCTTTGAAAGATTTTAAAAAGGGGGTATGACATGATCTGATTTATGTTTTTTTAAAGGTCATTCTGGCTGCTGTGTGGATTCTAGATTGGGGAGGAGCAATAGCGGGAGCTGGGAGATGAATGTGAAGTCCAGGCAAGAGATGGGACTGGTTTGGGCCAGGGTGGGACAGGGTGGCAGCAGTGGAGAAGAAGGGAAAGTGGATGCATTCAGCGTATGTGTTCTGAAGGGAGAGCCCACTGGACTTCCCAGGGGTTGGCTGTGGGGCAGAGATTGCACAGAGAGGCTGTGGGCTCTCCACTGAAGGAACAGTAGGACACCCACGCTCCTGAAGGAGAGCTCCTTCTCTCTGTCTCTGTGCTGAGGTGGTGTATGAGGTGCCAAGGGAAGGAAAAGGGGACCCTTTCTTTCCTAGACTCCTCTATAGGTAGGGCTTCAGAAACACTTTTATCCCCACAAGTAAGTGCCTTAGGACACTGGGGTGTTCTCCCAGAGCAGACCTTGCTTTGGGAGAGATTGGAGGGGCCAGTGGAGAGAGAAAACCAGAGGCTAAGACCCAAGTGTCACCACCCACCACCACGACCTAGATTTCAACTTTGGTGAAGGAGTCCTCCCTGTCTCCTAGTTGAGTTGGAAGGGGGGTTCCGGGGACAAAGGGCTGTCCCACAGGAGAGCCCAGGCCTCCTTCAGAGCTTCGTTAGCTACTGACAGTGGAGCCTCACCTGAGGCGGGGAGGCCTTTGGAACAGACTTGGTTCAAAGGAAAGAAGCTTCACTCACAAAACAGAGCTTCCCTCTGAAGCCTAGTTATTATTCCAATTAAGCCACACAAAATCTGCTCCCTTAATAACACCCTACCCAGGAGAACTCTGGGGTGTCTTCACGGAGGGCAGGTTGGACGGGAGCTGGCTGAGGGTGGGGTGCAGGTCTGCGTGCTGGCAGGTCACCTGTGATAGGTTCCTGGGCAGCAGGAAACAGCATTATGAGAAGGACATTGGCAGTCAAGGGTCCTGTTCCGGGCGGGCTGACTTACTGTACAGGAGCCGCTCGGGTGGGCGCAGCGAGGAGGACTCCTCACCTGGCCCCAGATTTTCACAAAACGACTAGCACCTACGTGGAGAGCCAACCACCGTGCTTAGGGCTTGATGCTGCTCTCGTTATTCTCACCAGCCGATTCTGGCCCACAGATGTGTTTGGTTTGGCCCTCTCAAAGTGTTTTTACAATTCTGAAGCAGTTGCCAACATGGGAAGTTGAGGAGACTTAGGTAAAAATCCAGATGGAGTCCTTGTCCTCGGGGAGGTATGTCTTTACCAAGATCCCTGGTCTGTAGAGGGGTAGAGCTAGGATTTGAACTCGACACCCCCTGAATCCCGAGCTCCTGCTTTTCTCCTTTGGGAGATGCAGGCTTGGAAGTGGGGACACACGGGATCCATGGGCAGGATTGCGTTAATAGCACTTCGCTCCCGCTGCTGCCCCCACCTGTGAGAGCACTGGGCTGGTAAGATGCAGGGTAGGGTCAGGGCCCTGTCAAAGTCCTCTTTGTCACACTCAGACGCTGGAGGACAGCAAGGTGGCACCTGTGGGTGGCAGAGCATTATTGCCCCATTCAGTCCACGACCTGGGC